TTTAGAGTATACATTGTGATTATAATATTAACTTAGAGATATGAGAATTATTAATTCTTCATTTCTTTCTCTTCTTTATCTTTCACAGATATGTTTGTCAGAAGAGAAGTTAACTTTAAGAAGATATCTTCTCAGTTTCTTCTCTTCTTCAGCTTCTTATAATCACTGATATAGTAATTATCAGCTCTGTAGTTAAAACAGAGATCTTTATCAAATCTTTTTTAATATTTCTTCACAGTGAGTGAAGAATCAGAATACTTAGAATTCTTCTTTACTTTCTCTATACTGAAGCTGTCACAGCACTGTTTAGATTCTGTCATGAATTACTTAGAAGAGGTCTTGTTAATCTTTTTCTCAGAGAATTGATTATTCAAATAGATTCAGAAAGCTAGATTGACAAGCTCAGTATAATTGATTAATAAACTCTGATACTGTGATATTATTATCTGCATCTTATGAGTCAGCTTTATAAGATAAACCTGTGTTTTTAATTGATTCAAATCATCAGTCAATTTCTCTCAATATTCTTCAAATCTTGTATTAAAATCAGAAGAATTCTCATTATCTTATTAATATAATATATTGAATCACTGTATCACTGTGAAGCTGCAGTTGCAGTGATCTTTAATTTAATTTAATAGAAAGTTCTTGAATTCTTTTCAAGTTATAACAGTATTGATACACTCAAGCTCTCTCTTCTTAATAACTCAAGTAGTTGTAGAGATGTCTTCAAGAAGGTTGATGATATAGATTACTTATATCTCATAAGTATTATACTGACTCAGATTAAGATGGAATTTCTGTTCAAGAATACAGATAAAGCTGTGAAATTCAGACAAGATATTTCTCTTATATCTCAGAGAATCTTCAACCTTAATCTCTCTATCTTTATAATAGATATAGATGTGTAGAGGCTGTGATGATAGTAGAGCAGTTGAAGAGCTCATGTTAAAATGTGCAGTGAGTTCAGAAATCTCAGATTTCTGCTAAAATAGAGATGTACACACTCTAGAAGATGATGTAGTGTTTCTCTCAGAGAGTGAAATTAGATTGATCTCAGTGCAGATATATAAGATTATATTAATCTATTAGAGCTTAACTGATTCAAATATGTAATCAGATTGAGTGATTTGAATTGTAATATGACAGAACTGAAGTGATGACTAGTTAACAGTATTATATAGAAGTAGTTGTTTAAGAAGCTGTATAAGTGAGCTTGACTATCTTACTTAAATAGTGAGCTTATAGACTATAGAGTTATTGCAAGAATATCACAGATATAGTACTTTGTATACTAAGAAGATTGTATGAGACATGCAGTAACTCTTGTATATATTTCAGTAGAAGAAAAGAAACAAATCACTGACTTCTTTGATAAGAAGCCAGTATCTAGCTATTCTATATAGACAATGAGCAGATACTCTTCTCTCATTTCACAAGTGAGAATAGTCAGAGTGATATCTCAGCAGCATCTCATTGTCAAGAAAGAGTAATCTGCTAATCTTATATAGAAGTGAGATTCTCTTATTCATCAATCAGATCTTTCTATGATATACCTGAATAATGTTATAGAGTGGTTGGAAACCGGTTCAGACAGAATGAAATCATCCGCATCAAAGTGATGAGCCGTGTGGAACCGCAGCGGGGCCTTGGCGCGGCCGGGAGTGTGATAATAATTTTCAATAAATGAGCACTATATTATGATATTATGTAAGTGAGAAGTGATTTCATAGTCTTATTTAATGCCATTCTCAATAATGAGATCAGAATGAAAATGTGACTAAGAATTCAAACATATTCTTTATTCAGAACTAGATTTTTATTTGAAAAGTGAATCTGAGATCTTTAATATTTGAAATAACATGATTTGAAATTAATGTGATGAACACAAATTATGATCAGAAGTAATGCTTTTAGACAACATGATAACTGTAAAGTTTGATTCTGGTCTCAGACACAGTTACACAGTCAGTCTAAGAAGACTTACAGTAAAGAAGAAAACTGCACTGCTTAAAGTCAGAGACTGATTTGAGAAAGATATGAAATTAACTGCTAGTCTGAAGATCAGATGCAGTGACAGAGCTGAGAAGAGTGAAGACACTGTTATAAGTGATAATATCTCTGCTTCATCAGTTAGTAAAAAGTAATCAGAGAAGTTATAAGAATACTTATAAGAAGCTCAGCAGCAGTCAGATATTATTTACAAAAATATTGAAATTGAAAAAATTTTTATTCTTGAGAAGTTCTTGAATTAATATACAGATATTGTCAGAAACACTCTCTCTCTGTTATCTGAGTGAAAACACTTTGTGAATAAATGAAGATACTCACAGTTTATAAGAATAAAAGCTGTTATAGAAAAAGAAAAAAGAAGATGAGATTTCACAGACAGATCTGAGATATTTATACTACTCTAGAGAGATTTATTTACACTATGAGTGATTCTATGAAATAGTTAGATTACTCTAGTAAATAAAGAGTGATTATAAATTACAGATCTGAACCTTTTTATATAACTATAAAGAGTAATTACAGACTATAGATATCTTGATTCTACAATTCTACAGAGTTAATAAAAGAATGAAAAATTCCTCACAATTCTACAGTGTCAAAGAACAATGATTTGTAAGAATGAGTGAAAGATTAACTTGTAAATACTTCTCTTTGATAAGAATAATCTTACAGAGAGTGATTTATCTATGAGATAAATCTATGTGATAATTATATAAGAATCTTATGAAAATAATTAAGAGTTAATCAGAACTCTTCTATATGAAAGATGTGAGATAAATCTGTATAGTAGTCAGAGAAGAATCTGTAAATTATAAAGAATCTTATAAAATAAGAAACTGAGTAACAGACTCTTTTCTCTTTATAATAATAAGAGATTTTTCCTCACTGAGATTTTTTATAGATGTGAAGAGTTTTTAGTGAGTATTACTACAGTACTGAGCTGATTCTATAAAGTCACTCAGTGAAAGACTTTATAAATGAAGTCTTAAAGAGAGAGAAATATGTAAGAAATCTTACTTCTCACAGATTCTTTATCTCTATTTCTATCTCTTATATAATTAATAAAGTTAGTAACTCTTAACTATACACAACTATATAGACTGAAGTTTGTGAATACTATTCATAACTCAGCTTAAATACTATTATATATTTAATCTCTACATTTTACCTTTCTACTGTGAATACTTTTAGTAATTAACAGTATATATCACACCAAGCTGCAAACATCTGAATAATCGCCTGCGAGCACTTATTCTTACATATAAACTTATAAAAGCTTTTATAGATTATGATTTAATAAGTAATCTTAAGTAATTACAGCTTAAGAAAGTTTTTTTTCAGTTTATAAGTATTTCTAAAGATTATATCTAGAGACTTGATTTAAGAGTGTTTATAGATAGTAAGCATTTCTTAAAGAAAAATAGCTTAATTTTATAAAAGATACTTAAGAATGTTCTTCACTAAAATTAATTTATTTATAAATTTGAAAAGTTTCTCTATTATAAATGTAGAGAATAATATTCTATAAGTAATTAATAAGTTCTTTAAAACTTCTTTTATAAAAGTTATTTATAATTCAGATAACTGCTTCTGAGTGTCTGTAGTAGAGTTTATAGAGATTAAAGTATATAAGTTTCTAGTTCTTTCAGTTATAATAGACAGTTGCTGACTGACAGAGCTTGAAATATAAGAATAAGTGCTTATAGATAATTATTCAGGTATTTACAGCTTGATATAATATATACTATTAACTACTAGAAGTATTCACAGTAGAAAGATAAAATGTAAAGATTAAATATATAATAGTATTTAAGCTGAGTTATGAATAGTATTTGTGAACTTTAGTCTATATAGTTATGTGTAGTCAAGAGCTGCTAACTCTATTAATTACATGAGAGATAGAAATAGAGATAAAGAATCTGTGAGAAGCAGAATTTCTTACAAGATAATATAATAACTGTAAAGTTTAATTCTAGTCTCAGACATAGTTACATAGTCAGTCTAATATCAAGACTCTCTGCTAAGGTCAGATAGTGTTCAGAGAGTAGCTAATTATTATTATTATCTTCATTATCACTGACAGAGTCACTTTTATACTCACTGTCTGAAAAGATGATATTTAGTATAGAGAGAGTATTCAGAGCAGATCTGATATTCATCTTACTTCTACTTTACTTATCAGACTCAGTTAAATAAGAGAGAGATATCATAATCAGAATAACTCAAGAAGAGAGCTGATAGAAGAGAGTGGCAGAAACAAGTAATGAAAGACTTAGACACTTTTCTGAATAGAACTGATTACTGACCTGATAGTACTGTGAAGAAGAAGAGAAAAGAGAGCTGCAGACAGCATAATAAGAGTGACAGAGACTGAAAACAGAGAGAATAACATAATTCATGATCTGAAGAGAGAGTCAAATCTGACAGAGTGAAGCATCAAAAACAGCTCCTCTCCCTCTCAAAAGAAGGGCAGTGAGTGCGCGAGGATGAGCAAGAGTGGTGACTGAAAGCCATGAAAATGCACTTTTAAAATCGTGGCCACGCGTGGAGAGAAGGGTCGCGGCTGTGGAGATAGATTCACGTGATGATTGAGGTTGGGCGGTTAGCGGGAGGCCGAAAGCAGCGGTGAAAACAGCCATTTGCAGCCTCCGGCCAACTGTCACATCGTTATATAGAGTATATAAATGATGTAAACTTGATATAGAAGTAACATATTATAACTATAATTTGATAAGTTTTTATTAACTGAGTTCATAATTCTGAATAGTTAAAGGTGTTAAAGTAAGTTAATTTATATTTATTAGTTATTACTGAATGCTATATTAATATTAAGCAGTTATATGTAGTATGTATGAGTTTCTAAACTATTATAATTAACTACTAACTAGTTAGTTATATCATGTGATTTAGTGTCTTAGAAAGTTGGTTCCACTTACAATGATTCCCGAGCGAGTAATTCTCGAGCCTTCTATTGGCCGCCGAGTCGGGCAAGATTTGGGTGACTAATCCCGTTTTTTGCCTCCAAACTATGAATACCCGTCCATCCGTGTCTATCTTGTATACCCCAGCTTCAAATCCTTCATTGTTGTTGTTCTCTCTCTGCCTCTGCAGTCTGCACCGTTAGTAGATCGTCTTCTTGTCTTCTTGTCTCGGCTCTGTTCTCCATAGACCAAAGATGGCTTCTGCCGCTAGAACTTTCACCAGGGCTTTCGCTCGTGCAACCCCTGCCACCTGTACTTCTTCCTCTATCCGAACTTCCGCTCGCAATACGGCCCGCTTTGCCCTTCCCGCTCAGACATTCCGAGGTGGATCCCGCAGAGGGTATGCCTCTGGACCTGAAGCAGGAAAGTCTTCGAGAAACTTATATATCGGATTGGGCGCTGTCTTATTTGGAGGTGCTGGCGCTTTCTACTACTTCAATAGCGATGGGCTCAACGCCGCTGCTGCCAAGCCAACTGGTCCTTTTACTCCGACCAAGGATGATTACCAGAAGGTATACGATGAAATCGCGAGACTTTTGGTAGAAAAGGATGACTATGATGACGGCAGCTACGGACCTGTAAGCCAAAATTCACCTCCCCCTTTCTCGCTAGCTTTCCGGTCTCTAACTTTGGGTTGCTTTTGAACAGGTTCTTGTCCGACTGGCATGGCACGCGAGCGGTACCTACGACAAGGAAACCGGCACTGGAGGAAGCAATGGCGCCACCATGCGCTTCTCTCCTGAGAGCGACCACGGGGCGAACGCTGGCTTGAAGGCTGCTCGGGATTTCCTTGAGCCGGTGAAGGGTAAGCAAAGAAACAAACCATTCATAGCGTTTGTTGCGAGTCACCTCGCTAACTCATGTATTTAGCTAAATTCCCTTGGATCACGTACTCCGATCTTTGGACTCTTGCTGGCGCTTGTGCCATTCAGGAACTGCAGGGACCAGTGATTCCATGGCGCCCCGGCCGCCAAGACAAAGATGTATCTGCCTGCACACCTGATGGACGTCTTCCCGATGCTTCCAAGGACCAGAAACATATCAGAGCAATCTTTGGACGCATGGGCTTCGACGACCGCGAGATGGTCGCTCTGAGCGGTGCTCACTCCCTTGGCCGTGCCCATACTGACCGGTCTGGTTATGATGGTCCATGGGACTTCAGCCCCACTGTCTTCACCAACGAATTCTTCAGATTGTTGGTTGACGAGAAATGGAACTGGAGAAAGGTACGTGAAATATGCAAATAACTGTTCCGTCAAATAGAACTCAGGATGCATGAACTGACCATGACAAAATTTCAGTGGGACGGCCCTGCCCAATTCACCGACAAGACCACCAAGACTCTGATGATGTTGCCAACCGACATGGCCCTTGTGAAGGACAAGGAGTTCAGGAAGCACGTCGAGCGATATGCCAAGGACAGCGATGTATTCTTCAAGGAGTTCTCGGATGCGTTCGTCAAGCTCCTTGAACTTGGTGTCCCTTTCACCTCTTCGGCTGAAGATCGCATCCGATTCAAGGTTTCGAGCGACTAAATCAGCGAGTTTATGCCTTACGCACGTGCGAAGCAGAAAATCTTTTGGCTTGCAATCGATTGAGTCCCGAATTATTCCTTCATTAAAACTAATTATTTTCTTTGTGGCCTGCCGCTGTCATGTCTTTCTATGGTTTCTTTCAATCATTATTTTCCTTATTATAGCTGTTTTACACCGAATGCTGTACAATTCAAGATTTAGATTACACAGATCTCTCTACTCCTGTTCGACTCAGTAACGAGCATACCTCGTTGCACGTTTGTACAATATCTCTCTTATGTTCTAGCGTCGTTTTTGAAGCAGGATAGATACTACCAGGGAGAGGGACCGGACGAGCGAACTAGGAAATGCGCGGGGTTGGATAGAAGATAGCTTAGTTTCTTTACAGTCTTATATTCAGCAAAATCAAAAGTGAAAAAGTAGATGTTCAACATTCAACTATCTTCCAAGTACTATTCGTGTTTTGTATTCGCCATTGGTATGGTATGTATGTGTATTTGGCTTGGACAAACTAGTAGTTAACTAACTAACTAGCCGAACCTTGATCAGTTGAGCCGAACCAGAGCTTCTTTAACCATTTCTTGTCGCCAACTTCTCCGCCAGCGTATGTACTATACAACTCTAACATATAGACCACCACGGGCTAGGAGCCCTGCCACGATGCGCCTCACTGAAGCAATCTCGTTCTCCATCTATCATTCGCCCTAACGACGATCGTACCGTCCTCCAGTGGCCTCCCTCATCTTCCGCTACTGCTATGATGACAGCATTATCAACAACAACCTTGGGCACCTCAACAACAACTCACTACTCAATCCTCAACATCCCATATCCGCCCCCTCACCGCCTCCTCAAGCCAGATGTAAAACTGGCCTACCATCGCGCACTACTCAAACACCATCCGGACAAATGTCGCACAGCGTCGTCCAACCCCGCCAAAACCCCCACCACGAGTATAGCTTTCAGAACCAACGGGGCCAGCACCGGCACTAACTCCAACTCCCAATATATGACTGATAGAGAGACGACGACAACATCTAGTATAACCACTATAACCACTGAAGCTTCAAATCCAGCTGGCACAGCCAAAGTCTCGCCGCCTCTACCCCATGCCCCGCAGCTGAGATACACAATAGACCAAATAACTACAGCATACAAAGTCCTGTCAGATCCCATCACACGAGCGGAATATGACCGCTCCCTACGTCTCTTAGGGATAAATGGTGACAGGCATGGACATGGACATGGAGATGATGAGGGTACACCCTTTAGAACTGGCATGGAGGTTTTCGACCTAGACGATATGCAGATGGCGGATGGCACTTTTGGTCCTGACTTCGGTACCAACTCTGACGACAACGGTAGTGGTGGGACATGGTATCATTCCTGCCGCTGCGGGGAAGAGAAGGGGTTCGTGGTGTTGGAAGAGGAGCTGGAGAGGGAAGCGGAGAGGGGAGAGGTGGTTGTCGGGTGTCGTGGGTGTAGTCTATGGGCTACAGTTGTATTTGCTGTTGACGAGAGCGGCGAGGAGGAAATGGAAAATGACCGGATATCGTGAAAGACGAGCTGAAGTTTGGATTGAATGAATTTACAGACCACAGTCACTGGTGGTGTTTGGTTTTCACCATGTCCACGCTGGGTTCAAGGAAGATGTACGTTGTCGACGCTAGGCTAGGATGCTGGGTTGTAGTATAGAGCTCCCCATAACGCATCCAGCACCATCTGACAGTGTGTCTGCAACTTGTGGAAGTTTGCTGCGATCGATTTACATTGGAACCTAGTTTCTCAGCTTGTGATTTCGAGGAGGGTGCACCGCGCTACCACTCCCCGGGATTCTTCCAGGAGATACGTAATAATGCAACCCGCCGCAGACCACTCGACTTCTTCCAGACGATCATCGAAGAGCTACTATGTTGATATATATATATATCAATTAAATCCTTCTCCTTGTTCGTTCTTGAAGATTCTCAGGAGTATCACTGGTACATCTTTTTTCCTGGGAAACCAGAACAAGCTCGCATGGCCCGTATCAACCAGGTTTCGATTGGGTTGACTTTACAAAGGTCGTAGAACGCGCCTCCTGTACATGTACATGTTGGGTGAAAGGATTTGAGATGAGATTTTCCCTATGTTATTTAGGGTGACTGACTACAGATAAATTATCCAAACAAATAGCCCATTATACATCCATATATTCCGAGCAATCAGCGTGTTTAGCTGTTCTTTTTTTTTTTTTTTTTTTTTTTTTTTTTTTTTTTTTTGGTTGGATTTGTTTTTTTTTGTTTGTTTTTGTTTGTTTTTGGGACCTTCTTGATAATATCTAAGGCTTATGTGTTAACGACTTTTAAGTAAGCCAAATAGTGGCATTTATTAATGGCTCTTTGAACATATTCCGGTTATATATATAGTCTTATATCGATGGTTGTTGCCTGGGTACCATTGGATCTCAAGTCTTTGACGGGCGGAAGCTGAGTAAATAGTTACAGCAAACACTAAGTTACCAAATTTGAACTTCATCAGAACATTCATCTAAGAGTTCACCCTCAACCGCGCCGCATTTCCCAACCCATTACCTCCTCTCCCCAAATCCCTTAAAATGTCCAAGTTAGTCAACATATCATCGAAGGCTCAGCTTTCGGAGCTTCTCTCATCGTCCTCCATTGTCATAGCAGACTGTAAGTTGTTCCCCTCTGGCGAAGAATCCGACCACTCCGATCAACTACCCCTCCATGCCCCCCTCCAAACATTTCCCCCCACCACCATGAGCCGCAATTTATCCCAGCTTGCCCGAATGATGATAATACCAATATCACATATATGGGGAAAGTGACTCGTATCACATTGCTGACACTGTTTATATTTCTTCTTAATTTACAGTCTATGCGAACTGGTGCGGGCCATGCAAGGTGATTGCGCCGCTTTTCGAGAAACTGGCGAACCAGTTCACGCGCCCGAAGAAGATATCTTTTGTCAAGATCGATGTCGACGCGAATCAGGATGTGGCAGCAGCTTACGGAGTCACTACGTAAGTTACAAAGAATGATGTTAGCTTTCTTCCGTCATATCGTGTATCTATCGAGTTCCTCCCATGTCGGCGCTTGGATTCAGGCTACCTACAACTATGCCAGCTTTTGTTGAATACCCTGATCGGGGAGAGTCTGACGGCTACCTCTGACACGCTATACCTACGGTTGCCTTCTAGCATGCCTACGTTCATAATCTTCAAAAACGGCGCCGTCGCCCATTCAATCCGCGGCGCAAACCCGCAACTCCTCACATCCAAAATCCAAGAATTCGTCTCGAGTGTTGGATCCAACGGCGCAGACGACGCTGCGGGGGAGGCTAGCAGCAGCGGCTCACAGTGGTTGGGCGGGGCCGTTCCAAAGGGCTACTCAGAGCTCTCTAGTGAGATTGAAATCAAAGGCATAGATCTTCTCAACTGCGACAACCAGGTCGGCTCTGGGAATTCGCTCTTCGCAGCGGAGAAGCCATCGGGTTTCTCTGCTGTTGAGAGTAGTGGGAAAGCCTCATCTACATCCGACTGGGTGGAGAGCGACACGGACGAGCAGCTGATGTTATACATGCCCTTCCAGTCGTCTATTAAACTCCATTCGTTACAGATTACTTCTCTTGCATCTCCCGGAGGTGATGCCGATGATGATGAGGTACCAATGCGACCTAAGACGCTGAAACTGTATACCAATCGCACTCATATCATTGGGTTTGAAGACGCGGATGAGGAGACCCCGACGCAGGAGATAGAGCTGACACCACGGGATTGGGACGAGAATACGAAAACGGCAACAGTTGAGCTACGGTTTGTCAAGTTCCAGCGCATCAATTCGCTTGTTGTATACTTCGTAGACGGAGATGGGGATGGAGAGAGGATCCGAGTGGATAGGGTGAGGCTATTTGGGGAAGCTGGGGAGAAGAGGGAGATGGGCAAGCTCGAGAAGATTGGGGATGAGCCGGGAGAGTAAAACTCGAGGGGCAGGTCTTTTTTTTTTTTTAGATGGATGTCTTGAAGGATCGCTTGTTTCGTCCTGTATCAACATACGTTCATCGAACCTGGGTTTTTCACTAGAGGGAATGGTAGTAATGAGACACGAATCAGATGTTTCATTCAGTACTCCGTCACTGTATTTTTTTATTTTTTATTTTTTTATAAATTTTTTAATTATTCTTTACCAGACTACAGTCAAGCCCAAACACTAAGTCTCTAGCTACTTATAAACCAGCGGAGTGTCCTGGGTAGGGTAGTAAACGTGCACTTCCATCAAAGTGCAGAGACCGGCTGAAATTTTCCCTGTCAACCGCTACTGCTCCCACTCAACAGGAGATGCAGCGCCGGATTACCAAGAAGAGATGAATCAGGGAAATAAAACGAAGAAGAATTGTTCGATCCCAAACCAAATGGCCATTTCCTCAATGAGAGAGAGGATAAGTAATAACAAACGACCAGTAAAGTAAGAACCGACGTGCAATTTCATTGTTCTGTGACGCAGCCGACACCTAAAGATTTTTTGACTCAATCAAACATCACAAATAAAAAGCGCACACATGCCTACTTCTTTCAAAGGAAAGAAGAGAGGATGGGGGCTTCTTGATGTCTAGGCAACACGGGTTAAGGGCTGCGTCGCCGCACGAAGAAAGAAAAAAAAAGAACAAGAAAAGGAAGAGAAATGAAGCTGGGAAAGAGTTTTATATCGGTTTGTGTGGAGGATGATGTCGGAAGCACAGTTTTTCCGGCCTGGCTGCTTTCAGTTTAGCGGGGTTTTCATAGATATTTGCGGAAGTATATAAACACTTACAGCATAAACATCTACATAGTAACCTACTTTTGAGAGTCGATTTGCACGCCCAAGCCCTTTTTGATCTCGCTGCTTCTTACCGCTGACTCCGTCAATTACAACATCTTCCCCACCATGGTTGAGAAATTGTGTACTCCGTACATAGAAGACAACGACTATCCCTGGTGGTCAGAGCCAAGCGATGACGTAATCGCATACAAGCGAGAAGAAGAAATATTTATCACGTCCCACAATTATTTTAGCCTCTTCTCTCTTTTAATTTTTTTTTTCCCTCTCCTATGGCCAATGATGAGTGGTATGCGACTATAGTCGTGTACCTTTCACATATATAGGAAGAGGATGAATGCTCTCTTTCAGGAGCTTGATATCAACTGACACCCTCTGAGGCCTTGATTTGATGTTTTCATTCCAACCGCTCAATCAAAATTGATGCCACGCTGATTTCCATTTATATCCATTTGCAAAGAATGATTCCTCTCCCCCTGATACCTATTCTTCTTTTGTTTTTGAGCAATCTGGTATATCTTGACGAATCTCACATTACTGAAGCCATATAGCTTCTAGGATTTCTTTTCTTGGTAGATTTTGGAGTTGATTGCCAGGCTCGAACTTGTAACTCATTCATCCATCATGAGGCCAGACCCTTTTTTTTTTTTTTTTTTTTCTGTTCACTTTGGAAAGACATTCCAAGGAAACAATATTCTTTCCTCTTGATAACATACTCCTTTTCCTTCCTCCAGGCCTAGAGTCAGCCATCTTATGTCGATGCTTTTATCTCCATGTTCCCTGGAGTAGACAACCAGAGAAGAACATAGGACATGCAACACTGTTGAGCATCCAATGTCAACCCATGCCAACCCTACTATCGGGCAGTGACGATATATGTCTTGCCTCAGCCTTCCTGGGACTTGAGCAAATTATCTGTTTTGGGGGGAGGTTTAACGATTCATCTGTTTGCAGCCTTGAGGAATACGTGGATTTGAATGCCAGCAAAGACTTAAAATGAACCAACTAGACTTTTGGGAAAATATATTAACAGCTGCAGCACCTAGGGTAGCTACTAAGCTGTTCCTTCTGAATGCCATCGGGGATCTTTTCAAAGGGCTAAGGGATCACAGCTGCCCATTCAAATTTATTTGATTGAAGTCACCGCCTGTCTTGCTTTATCCAGTTCAACATGAGCTCGCCGTCTGCGATGGTGGGCCTTATTCTATTCATGAAAGGATATCAAAGTGGCGGTGTAGAATTAATTTCATTCTAGAACCGCATGTACATGACGGTAATTTTCATAATTCCGTTCATCCGCCCATTGCAGAACTTATTTTATCTTTCAGAATAGCTTGAATAGCTCCTGGAACTTTGACTTGGGCTGGAGCGTGACTGGGAATCCCAAATCTCTATCCAATTTTCTCCACTCCCAGCAGACGGCTTGTTTGACGAGTTATTGCTAATGATTGCCCAAGGTTATTCATGCTGTAAACATGCTCAGTTTTGCTCTCAATGTCCACTACACTCACTGGCATATCACCTAGTTTTCCTCATTACATTTCTAGTCCTAACCAACATATGACCTACCCAAATCTAATGTTTTTCAAAATCCGTCAAACCTGAATTATCTAGGCTACCCGTACATATATACCCCAGTGCAGATGTTGGTCGTCCTAGCTGCACGGTCTGTTCAGTGAAAATCTGGCTAAGAAGCTGTTCCCACCCCGCGAACATGCTTGCATAGGACACTCCTGAGTACTGGTATGCCTTACTTCCAACCTTCGGTGAGATATGGCTTCCTTCACGCTCCAGACCATCGTGGAATTTCCTCCACCTCGGAAAGATATCCGCCACCGGTGGGATCAGTATTAGTCCTGTTACCGTGTGCTTGACGTGCTCAATCACGTCCAATTGTATGTGTCGTATCGATGACGGAAATGAAGCCAAAATGTGCAGATTGTAGCATTGAGACAGAGCATTGAATCGTCGTTTTGTCAGTTGAGAAGCTGTCTTGCGAACTTCAGATCATTGATCTAAAGACTGGGCTCCATCAACAAAGTGCATATATATATTTCCCATTCAATAGCAAATACCAACGTTACATATAATATATATCTTGATTATTACCCATCCCGACACAAAACGATGCGTTGATGCGAAAGCCCCTCACCACCTACCTACCTATCTTTACGATGGCCCTCTCGCCTTCTCACATGAAATATGGTAGATCAAACACCACAAAGAGGCCTGTTTCTACTCATAACGATACTATCTTCTCTTTTGGAATGAATCAATGTAATATTCAGAGGGAAAATAAAAAAAAAAAAAAAAAAAAAAAAAAAAAAAAAAAAAGAAAGAGTCGCTCCGAACACTTCCCGCTGGAACAATACTAGTCGGAAGAATGACCTCTCCCGGTGCTCACCGAATACTAGACACAATCATCTCAACTTAGCTACCCCAGATAGCTAGAGCGTGCCAAATCTCGGACCCCGTTGGTACGAGGTTGATTTAAAAAAAAAGTGGAGGAAGAAAGTTAAACCAGTACGAACGTACGTACGTGAATCATGATGGAAGATCTGAGTAAAAAAAAAAATGGAAGAGGAAATGGTTTATGGATCCCATCGGTGATCCTAGGCCTGAAGTGGCAGAAGTTGATTGACTCAATAGGGACAGCTCCATACGCCGCGTAGCAGTACAAGGTTCAATGATTTATTAAGGGTCGGCTATCTTTTATGGGGAATTTGTTTTTAAACTTCACCATACGCTTGTAGTATATAAGAAGAAGAGCAATGAATACGGGGGCAAACGACGAAGCATTGTTCACACGAGTCATGAGAAACTCAATAAAACGAACGCGCCTCGGAACCATGGAGAGAAGAAAAGTCCTTCGCCCTCGTCCTCGTCTTGTTCCCAAGCAAGCCTATTCGCAGTATTCACAAACCTGCATTAAACGCAGGGGCGCAGAAAACAATGAAGCAGCAATTCTGCGAAGTCTACTCCGTTACGACGCGTGCAAATGATGATGGTGGGACGCCACAGCAGGCTAGTTGGTCGAACGGGCCTGATTGTCCTCTTGTCTACGGAGTACTGCGTAAGTTGTCTTCAGACTTCCGAAAGCCTCAATAGACCCCCATGTCGTTGTTGTTGTTGTTGTTGTTGTCATAGTTGTTGCGGCGCCAAGTTCGCCTGGAGACGACCGCGACAAATGCTCGGCTCAAATAAACTTTGGATGAAGCCAAGTATTAGTTATAGTATGTGGGGATGGTTGAGCTGTGGTGAACCAGACTGACGAGCAGAATTGACCTTGCGGCTGCGTTCTGCGCCATGGACTTGGAGATAGGCGGACATAGATTAGTCTAGTGTCTCTCAAGTCTGGGCCGACGGAAGTGCCCCCCACTGTTGCTTGCGGTATTGCTACTCTGCTATCTTGTGAGCGCCGGCATTTGCCCCAGACTATCATAATTCGCTGCCCGGTGGGGAGGAAACGCAGTGTTTTCGGTTATTCTGGGGAGCTCAGATGGATTCGAAGAGTCCATATGTCCCCAACAGGCGAATTTTCAGATCAAAGAATCCTTCCGAGGAATCCTGGGCCAATGATGGCAATAGACAATAGATGGACCGTTCGGCCTTCTCCAAGAAATGCGATAGGAACCAGGAACCGTTTCAATTGACTTTGCTGAGCTTTGGCTACACCGAAATTTAAACCACTCGGTGCTTATAGAGATCATTTGAATAAATGGCCGACCAACTGGGAGCATTGTGTCATATTCTTATCATAATTGATTGGACGAGGAATACGCAATTCATTCTACTGGTAATCCCTCGGCATCAATGTTGGGTATTTCCTTGTCCCTGATCTCTAATCTGTACTCTGTACGGAATACGGAGCATGGATACACTGTTCCTTGCATTCACGCAATCGCAGAACATTTTTTGTTTGATTCTGGCCAAGCACGAGACGTGGAAAGAATCAAAGCTTTTTGTTGGATAGGCTGGATAGTCATGCACAAACTGTGCATCTGAATGCCAGGAAGCCGAAAAATGGTCAGCCAACTGACAAAAGACGAGGGACTGGGCTTCGCGACTCGCGACAGACCAGACCGGCGGAACCCAAAAAAAAAAAAGGCCGTTGAACTTTATTAAAAAAATAGTCAAGACACTTGTAGAAGCCAACCTTCCCCAGATTGTTAAATCCTCCGCCCTCTCAAGAAGCGAACGTTCGGATAGAAATTAAATCCTGATAAAAATAAACAGGGCCATGCTCCTGCAATTTGAGACGGAGATTATTCCCACATGGATGGTGGGGGGTTTCGAGGACACAGAAATAAAAATAAAATCCTACGAAATATCCCTGCTTCAGAAGCCTTTTCCTGAACTGCACTCACTCGGCGTGTTCTTGAGATGCGTCGAAGTGATCAGCAGCAGCGGCATGCACGATGCCATTTTCGCTCCAGCGCTTCCAACTAGCTTCAAGGGATAAATGGACTAATAAAAGGGCCAAAACCCCCTCAGGCAAAATCCAGTCCTGAGCTAAGAAACGGGAAATGGAAAGGCATGAAATCGAAATCGACGGTGACAGCGGATTGGCCCGCCATACTGGTGTGTTTCATGTTCGCTGGGATTGACGCTTGGCCGATGGGCCCTCGGGGGGCGCGCTACTGGGACATAGACAGGACAGGTCGGCAACGGAAAAGTGACCTGGATTCCAACAGCATAAAATTGCTCTGGATATTTCGTTAAAATTCCCCAGAGGTCGAGCCTGCAGGTTGCAGTAGCGCAGCAGGGATTGCGACTTGGCCCAAGCAGACAAGACAGATTAGCCAAGGCATTATTTCAACAAGTCGCTGAGCGACAGTAAGTTACGGAGTAGAAGAATTGCAAAGGGCAACTTCGGAAAGCAAGTAAAAGTTATCAATTGCTTCAACGTGGACATAAAAATACAACTTTTCCATCATCCCCAGGAGAACAAATGCAGATACACCAACTTGCTTCCAGGCAACAACGTCCCTGATGAAGTTGGAAACCATCCAGGCTTGATGGATAAGTTCCTTGTTTGCTCATTATCTGCTTTTTTTTTTTTTTTTTTTTTTTTTTTTTTTTTTTTTTTTCCTGGCGGTGGGTGTTCCTACTCGAGACTGATGTCTCGAACATCTATAGCCCACCGATCACTGAGCCCATGACCTCGCTCTTGAGATGATGGTTGTCGTTTCTACTCCATCCGATTTTGCAATAATAATACTGGCCACTGGCTACCACTCTCAGTAAGTGTCACGTACGTACCTACTTCACCCCTTTGCAGCAAAGCGCACAGGCATGGAACAAGTGATCAAGAGCGCACTTTTATGCATAGACGTGCATGCACTTCCCTAGCTGCGTTTCACATCTCTCTGCTCGATGATGTCGGTGGCTCAATACATTTCATGATCGATATGCGGACCGGGACGGGGATACAATAGATCCAAAAATAAAAAATGTCACAAGCACCAAAAGAGGACACGGCCAAGATTTCTTTTCGGAGATCGAGATCTTTGTCCGACCTCATACACCCGAAAACCCAACTGCAGGGGCTGCGAAACACTTTGTTATCTCCCTGGTCAATGCTGGATCTATCAATCAGGGCAAGGAAATGCAGTGGGACGGACATTGGCACGCAGCAAATGGCCCAACCAAAATGTGCCCAATTTGCCCGTCTAGCCCTGAAGTCCCGCACATACCGGGGGGGAATTTCTCTCTCCATCTCTCTCTTGCTTGGCCGAAAATGGCTTGTGCGTTGCACAGCCGTTTTCCCACTTTCCCGCCGCTTTCCTTCTTATCGCGGTCGGAGTTAGTTCAATGTCCAGGCATCCCGGCGCGGCGGGGATACACCTCATCCAACCTACCGCCGTTTGCTGTTACTGGGTGCTATTTGTATGTATATGTGTGTGCTTAGCGATGGGAGCCTTGATTTTGATTTGATTCCTGACCAATCCCTCCATTTGCCTAGAGAGGAAATTGGGTGAGAGAAATGGTAATTTTGATGCATGAAGGGTGGGGTGGGGGAGTATGAGAGGGATTCAAAGGGATATTTATTACGTCTGTATAAAGTCCTGGTTATCTGGCAGATTGTATGACTGGCTTGTGAGGTCTTTGATAAATAAGCCTTTTCACGTGCTCCGCGGGCGATCATTTATGTAGACCCATCGACATCGACGGTGAACAAGAATATAGATAGATCCCCCCTCATAAACATTGCTACAGGCAACTACAGAATAATAGAAAGGACAGCAAATAGAAAATGAACCAAGTTGTAACAATTGTAACAGCCTATTATTGTTTCAATTCAATTCAATATTAAGCTCTTCATGTGTTCCCATGCCGTTTTCGTCTTGTTGCATGCAACCTTTGATTCAGCTAGAATGGCGCAATTCAATTCCGCTTCTCTTTGAGAAAAAAAAAAAAAAAAACCCCTTTTTCATTCCCCGAACTATCAGAATATTGTTCGAGACGTGACGAAAAACGACACCCAGTACTTGGCTCAAACCATATATGTATATATATGTATGTCAGTCACCCAGGAACCATGTATGCCGCCACAGGGTAAAATATCCCATTGGATGTGTCGAGCCCTATTCAGAATTTCAGAAGACAGCTTCTTGAAGTTTCCAACCACTCTTGGTGGCTTTGGGCTTTGTCTTTGTCCGTGCTGGTTGATTGATTGTGATTGTGATTGAAGAATATCCACAGGTATGTACAGAGAGCTAAAAGGCGACTGGTAAAAGGCCATGTTACGGTTTGGTTCCTGTCGATCTTCTTGGTTTCTTTTTCTTTTTCTTTTTTTCTCTCTTCTGTTCTACATTTTTGTGCCTTCCACAGAATGGACGTACAGGGCAAAGAAAAATGTCTCAGAGGCCCATCCATGAGAGCAGAATCCTCATAAGTGGTGTTCCTTTTGCAAACACGCGGATGTGCTAGGCTATGTATGCTATGTATCTACGAAAATGTGACATGTCGTGTGCGTGGGCGTATGAGGTGCGATGACGGCATGGCTGCTCCAAGGCAGTTGTTGAATTTGAGGCATTTTTATCGGTTATCAATTTCATGTCCCCAAGCACGAATGATTGATTATCTGTCTGATGAATATCTATTACTCTAGCAAAGCTCAAAATACAGACATCATATAGTATCACAACTCGACATGTTAAACCAATACAACAGGAAATTCCACAGCTACATCCCATACCTGTTATCAACACTGGCATGTCTGACAACAGATAACTATATATGGCCCACATCTGTTGCACCGCACCTGGGTGTACTCTGTATGAGAGTAGTTAAATCGGTAACTAGTGGGGATCTCTGTGCCTCTTTTTTTTTGCCCTCGCACTTGTGAAACAAGACATCCAGAAAATATCAATTGGTGATATGAATCCTGGTAACAACATGGATGTGTAGATAATAGATAAAATGGACGAGCGAGGGGGAGGAATGTGTGGCCATGGAGCGGGCGGTGGCACCCGTGTGCAATGTCAATAATAATGTCGTCCTTGTTCTATCAAAGCTGCCTGGCCTAGCCTGGGCTCGAAGGATTGTGTCGTTTCTGATAGGGCTAGAAAGTATGTAAATCATCCCAGCTGTATTATATATAATAATAGATATAATAATGCCCCTTGAATGGATGGAGGTTTCATATCGGACCAGGAGACGAAGATTCTACTCCCCTTCCACAACTAGGATATTGAAATGGAGGCGGATGCTAGGAAATAATAGAAAAGGCGGTGCACCATTCGCTCTAGCACAAATCATCGTCGTTCAGGGATGGGATCGAGATCTCAATACCCCTCCTCGTCGAGGAATAAATACCAGGTATATATTGACTTGTGCACAACCCTTGCTGGGAACCTGTTGCATTGCTGGGAATAAATTAACTAAATGCAACTCTATCTTGAATCTGCAGACTGTTTAATTAATAACTACTTGCAAAGAGGTGTGTAAATTTGCATTTTCTAACACAAATTGTGTTTCATTTTGATATTTGTGGCATTTGTTAATATATTATTCAATATCAATATATAGTTACATGAGTGATAATCAGAATTATATCTTGCATCACAAGTCTGTTGCTATGTATTATTCTTTCACAAGATCAATCAACTTGAAATAATAATAAATCTAGAACAATTCATCTCTGACACATCAATTCAATTGATAGGGAACTGGAATTGCACAGAATTGAGATAACTTTTTCATCATTAACTTTTCACCATTTAATCTAACCACACAGATATGCCCAAACCAAGAAATCAACATGAACATTTTGATGACATCAAGCTCCCATTCCCATTCATGCTTCAAAAAATTTGCTGTGAGGAAACACGCAGCTATTGGTATTTTATTATCAGTACCCTTCACAGACGGGAAAGAAAGTTAATTATATACAGAGTAAAGAAGAAGAGGCAGATCGTGAGTCGTGGGATGCATAGACGAGTAATAATAATAATAATAATAGACTCAGAAGGCTGTTCCTGTCAAACTTCCCTATCCTCGAATCAGCGTATCGTATGATGGAATAAGAATATGGAAAAAAGAAAATACAGAACAAACAGAAAGTGACCACAAGACCCAGTATGAGGCGCGTGTGTGAGCTTGTTGGCAAAGTAACTCTCGAAATGCAGCAAACTTCTGAAGTTCTGATGTGATGGAGTGATTCTTTTGCATACTTTTTCATTCCCTTGTCTCTCTGCCGTAAGTTTTTTATTTTTTATTTTTTATTTTTATTTTTATTTCTGTTGAGTAGTCAGTCTATGGTGGAAAAGTTTCAGGGAAGAGTTATTATATTTCTTATATATATATATATTATCCGTTTCCCTCTATTATTTAATTTAATTTAATTTTCTTGGTGGATCGATTTGTCCTGAAATCAACAGCTTCAAAAAACACAACCACTCAAAAATTGAACCCAAGAATAATGTTCGAAGGAAAGAAGAAGGTTTTCAGGAACCCGCTAACCTAAAAGTTTCGTAGCGGGACCGTGCCCTGGTTCGTAATGGTCCTCATAAAATAAAAATAAAATAGAAATAAAAAGAAATAAAAAGAAATAAAAAGAAATAGAACGAAAGCCAAAAGGAAGACCCCTGGTCTCGGCAACAACGGCCCTTGGACGAGGCGCTAATTCCGTCGCGAAACGCTTGCTGGGTCCTGGGTCTTGGGTTGGCCTGTTGCTTTTTGGTCACTGAAAGTGGCGGCAACTATCGTCTGCCCATCATTGGGCGGATGAAACTTTCAAAGAGAGGTAAGAGAGATAGCAAGCCGAATAACGCGGGCCACTTGGGGCCGCGCTTGAGGACCTAGGAGGCATTATTGGCGGATTACGGAGTACACTTTTGGCTTCTCTTTGGGGTTTTGAACTTAATTTCTTTTCTTTTCTTTTTTTTTTTTGCCGACTGTCTTTTTGAGCTAAACTTAAGCTAGATCTAGCGGGTGGAAACGGAGTCAGGTACCGTACCGGTATGCACGAAAAGCTGGGACATTCTCACCGTCATCTTCCTCTCTTTATTCGGTGACCTTTTTGCCCATTATTTTCTTTCTTCATTATTATTGCTCACGACTGTGCGTGCACGGATGAGATGTAGCAGTGGCAATTCCATTCCAGTGTAAAAAATCCAAGAGCCAGTCGTCATATTATTGGTGGTTGAAACTTTTGGGCACGGTCAGTCTGATTGTAACGGCTAATCCTTGCATACGCAGCAGTGGCGAGTTTCGAAGGTTCGAGGAGCCAATCCATCCCTGCGTTTCAACCTCCGCATTACCCAAGACTTTTTGCCTATCAACCTAACCCGTCAATACTGGATAATAATGGGGAGGGGACCAAGGTTAAGCTGGGGCCCTTGGGGTTGCGGTGCCACACTCTGTTCCCAATCTCCCGCTCATTCCCAATCTCCCGCTTCGCGCTGGCCGCTGGGCGGGGCCGGGGGGGTTCCACTTTACTTTTTTATTATTATTATTCTGAGTCCCTCTGATGGGATTTCCTCTTGTTCTGACTCGTTCAACAGCCAGTGAGAGTCTGAGGGGACCGAGAGTTACAGACCCGCCAATAATGATAGACTGCGGGACCCATCATTTCAGGAAGGAGAAGCAGAGCTGCAGAGGCCCTTGCTCCTCTTGTCTGACAGAACGGGTATCTAACCCTTCTCTCACCGTTATTATTCAGAGGGCCCTGTAGTTCTGGTTGTAGGAGGACAGGGACTATTGTCGATGATGAAACCTGGCATACATACATATCCAGGAGAGATCCCAGTGGTTTTGGAGGCTGTCTATTCTCAAAAAATAAAAAATAGTAAATAATAATAATAATAAAATAATAACAAATCTGACCATAGAGTAGTTCGTAGCCAGATTTGGCATCCGTCTGTCTCTCTCGTTCATTTTCTGGGCCATTCTAGGCCACCATAGGCCGTTTTAGATTTATTTTTTTCCTGTTCCCTCTTCAAACTTCAATTTTTATTTTTTTCCCTTTTAGTGAAAAAATAGAAGCAAAACCATGGAGGAGAGCGAGGGAGTTTGGGTGTACACAACAGCCTCTCTCGTCTTCCATGCTCTCACTCTTCTTTTCTACGAGGTTGTGAGAGATCAACCCAGCCTAGAACCACCAAGATCAGCGGTGGGATGGGATGGGGTCAGTAGAAAAAAATGTGCCTCGTTGTTGCTGCGCCATTTTCCCGCCTAGTCGCCCCGGACTAGGGTTTGTCGGTAGCGTCTGCTGAGTGGGTGCAACAGTGGCCTGCGGGCCTGCGGCTGCGGGCTCTGGGGCTGGATGGTGGACGACGGCGACGACGATATGGATGGTGGATGGTGGATGGATGGGCGGATGGAGAGGTGGGATGGGACTTGATGCGCTTCGCGCACTTTCTTTTTTCTTTTTTCTTTTTTTTTGGCTTTTGGGGTCTTTTCTTGCCGCTAGACTCCATACTGGCTGGTTCTGCTTGTGCTGCTGGGCTGCGGTGCCTGGTCTCACCACTATGCGACGAGTCCGACGGCTGGTGTCAGTGGTTGGTGTGGCCAGCCCACACACACGCACCACTCAGCGTCGTCGGACCCTATCTTGCCCCCGTCGCGCGCCGCCTTGTGGGAGAGGAAAGGAGAGGAGAGGAGACAAGACGAGACGAGACGATGTGTGTGGTGCGTGTGGTGTGAGTGGTGTAAGTGGTGTGAGGCCTGTGTTGTTGTGCTGCTGTGTTTCCGTCTGTGTCGGTGATGGTGTGAGTAGTAAGTAGTGTGTGTGCGTGCGCATGTGCGGTGGTGGTGGTGGTGGTCTGTATCCAAGTCGCTGACTCTTCTCTCTTGATTCTCTGTCTCTGTCTCTCTCTCTCTCTTTCTCTGCCTCTCTCTGCCTCTCTATCTGCTCTCGCATGTCTGCTTGTGTGGTTGTCTGGTTGTCTG